TTATTTGAATGGCTAGCACCCGTGTTAGAGTATGCGTGAGCTATAGTGGTACGTTTTCCGGGGGTTCATACCTTGGTGGAGTGGTAGAGCTGATGAGAATAAATTACGGCCGACAAATGTATTCTGAAGTAGTTTCTCGTGTTCAAGCATTATTGAAGGCCGATCCTTGTAATTTTGAGTACTTATTGTGGGCAGTATTTGATGGAAGGGAACGAAAAGTGAAGATGAAAATTGAATCCAGTGAGGATATCTTAGAGCTGATTGAAGAACAAAAAACACCAACATTTACGTGGAGTTGGAGAAGCGAGTAAATGTAGGTGTTCCGGGGACGGCGCAACAAAGCTTCACGCAAATGATGGCGTCCCAAGGTGTATTTCCGAGTTCTTTTGGTGTTGGTAGTTCTGCATTTTCCCACGAGGCCCCATATTCACATCAAGCAGGCCCTAGTTCATTTACACATACTGGATATCCTCGGGGCGTTGATGATAAAACCACGGGTTGTTCGAACCAACCAGGTCATTCTCGTGACGATGACAATAATGATGACCAAACCAACACGCACAATGGTGACTCAGGCGACAAAGACAAAGAGGTACATGAGAAGCAAATGTTCAAGCTTTTCAGGGCGTGGTATAGCGAGCATATTGAAGAGCTAAGATTAATCACCGACCATATTGAGGTTGAAAGTCTTGCATATATGAATCGAGGTAGCACCCGGCAATCCAACGTTGAGCCACGAATGTGGTCCCTTTCTATGCCGCCTACAACAACTAGATCAGATAGACAACCCATCCACTTACCCTCGAACAATATAGAATTATCTTTGGGGTTTGTCTTTCTTTCGAAAGAAGAGTTGATTTGTGCCATTCAACTGTATCACTTGCAACAAAAAGTTGAGTGTCGAACACCCAAATCCTGCACTTCTAGGTTAAAATCTGTTTGTCGGTATGAAGGGTGTTCTTACAAGTTATGTGCAAGGGCAAACCGAGATGTATGGAGAATCACTACTTTGAAACTCGAGCATACATGCGAAGGGAGTTTGACGCACAATCGACACCGTTCGGCTAATTCCAAGGTTCTCGCTCATATTTACGCATCAACTATTCAGATAAATCCCCAAACGGTATCTACACGGAGAATTATTGAACAAATGCCGGAGGAGCATGGTTTGTCGATCAGCTACAATGTGTCCCTCCGAGCAAGACACCGTGCTTTCGAAAAGGTTTATGGAGGTCATGAAGAATCATGGGGGCGGCTTCCCGGTTACTTGCACATGTTGCAGGTTCGTAATCCAGGTACAATTGTCGAACTGCAACGAGATGGCGAGGTATTCCAACACTTGTTCTTTGCTCTCGGAGCTAGCATTGAGGGCTTTCAACAAGCTGGTGTCCCGGTAATTGTGAAAGATGGTACCCACTTGAAAGGAAAATACAAGGGCATTATGTTTGTTGCAGAGAGAAAGTTACAGAGATGGAGAGAGCGAAACAATGTGAGGAGAGAGAGATCTGATCGATGTTTGTGTGTGGGTGGGGCCCATGGTTGGTAAGTGTTTAATGTCCACATTACCCTTAATTAGTAGTTAAATGTGTAAATTTTAACACAATATATGTTAATTTACAGTATTGCCATTAATGATTGACTAACTTTTGACTTGTTTCTAACCATTGATATGATAGATCCAATGGCACAAATACATTCTTATTTCTTTCACTATCTATCATTCTCATATGATCCCTTCTCTCTCTCTCTCTATATATATATATATATATAAAGAACAAATGTTGATACCTTTTTTTTATTTTTATTTTTTTTGGTGCAAAAATGTTGATACCTTCGAAGAAGAAGAAAAATGGCTTACACGGCAAAGTAGGAGAATATAAAAGAAAATGAATATCTAGTGATTTTATGGGACTTTAAAAGGTCCTAATTGAATAACTCTTGATTGTTAGAGACTCCTAAAAAGCCATGGAAAATCCTAATTAAATACCTTATGATTTTTTTAAGTTTTAAAAAGTCTCATTTAAATACACCTGGATTTCACAAATTCTAAGGGGGTGATTGTTTATAGATTGAACTAGTTTTTATTTAGTTTGTTTTTTTAACTAAGGTTAATTTTGAAAAAAGGTGTTATAGTTAGTTGTTAGTTATATTAAAATAATATTTAAATAAAATAATTAAAGTTAATTTGATATAAAATATGAGAAAAATGATTGTAAATGATAGTTAGTTAGAGTTATGTGAGTAGATGCATAGTGAATTAAAGTTGATGTGATGTGTAAAAATAATTGGTTGATATTATTTAATGGGTCAAAATCTTTTTCACCCCATTATAAATCTATTCTTTCTTTTACACACCACCCCATGAAATAACTTCTTTTACACCCCAAAACTCACGAAATGCTATGCGATATTACAGTCGCATATCCAAATAAACCAGCGCGTATCCAAGCGGACGCATAATTTATGACTATGCGAAAACATTTCGCATTTTTGTAATCGCATATCCACATCAAATGCATAATTTACAAATATGAGAATATCTTTCGCAGTTTTAAGAATCGCATATCAAAATCGAATGCAGCATAATTTACGATGACTATGCGCCTTATTTCGCAGGGCTATATCGACCTTGCAAATTTATGACTGTGCGAAAACGTTTCGCATATCATTCGCATTATTTGTTGAATTCGCATTTTCTGGAAATTGCATATCCAAGTCAATCGCATAATTTACTGGTATGCGAAAAACTTTCGCATATATCCGTCGGATATTGACAATGATGCGACATTTTTTCACTCGCATATTGAAGAATCTCATAACAAAATCGAATAAAGCATAATTTAATTGACGATAACGCGCCATTTTTTCGCAGGGTCATATCGTCATGGAAATTTTACGACTATTCAGAATTTGATCGCATATCTG